TGCCTGGGTTTAGTCTGTCAGGCGGAGGCTCTTCCCCCCCCGCCGACCCGTGCTTCCCCTCCGGTGGCTGCTCTTGGCCGTGTCTCTCCCCTGCTTGTGCAGCCGGCGGCAGCGTGGGGTTCCGGTCTGGGGCTGGCACCCCCAGGCTCTGGGGTTATGGTGAAACCGGAGTTGTGGGAGGAATGTCGGACACGAGTAGTTCCTTGCTCGCTCTGCTCAGGCACTAACTTTTCCATCACAGCTTTCTTGCCTGTGCGCTGCACTGTCCGATAATGTCTCCAACACCTTCCACATTTCCTTGAAAAGGATTTTTCACCAAGTTCTCCTTGTCATATTGAGAGGTATCAGCGAAGCTAAAGATTTTGTAACTTCTTGGTGCGGTGTCCAGCTGTGGAGCTGACAAGATCGCTAGCTCAGCGTGAGAGGATCGGAGTTATCCTGAGTGCATCACAGAGTCCTGCCTGGACTACTCTTCGGTGCCCATTTGTTTTTTAATTTGAAGCAATAATCAGTGCTTTTGTCCCCGGCAGATAGCTGTGTAGTGCCCTGAGCATGATCCGGGTGTTGTCCCTCAGGCCATTGTACGCTTGGTCCCGGTGATGTGTGTTTCCTTCAGGCCGCCCTGCTTGAATTTCCTGCTTCCTCCTCGCTTGGCAGCAAGTGCCCTTGGGTCAACACCGGTTTGCTGTGACAGCAAGCTGCAGACCGTTGTTCAAACAAGGGAGCAGCGAGGAGCGGTGTTGTTGTGCCACAGAGTTCAGCACCAAGGAAGCACAACTGAAATAGCCTCCAGCTCTGCTGCCAGGTCTTCAGGAGGATGGTGCAGCTTTGGCCGGGACTCAGAATCAATTCTGGAGCAGAATCGATTAGGAAGCTGCAAAACTGAATGTGACACCAGGATAGATTTGAGGTGCTCAGGCCACTTAGCGTTGAGATGGCTCGATTGCGCGCAGGGAGAGGGTTCAAGGAAAGGCTGCTTTAGCAAGGGGAAATGAGATCTGGTTACCCAAAGCTGGGGCGTGTCAAACTCAAACTGGAAACGAGCTGCACATTTCACTGAGAAATTGTAACCCTTCGTCTTGGGGTGGGTTGGTTGGGATTGCCTGAAATCTTTATTTAGATTTGAGGATATTTCTGCGAGAGATGTTTTAATTTTACTTCAGAGATAAATCAGTGACGGGATTTTCTTGATGATTGTTCTGCCTTGGGTTGTGCCCAGAATCTGACCCAGTGTTTGTGAGTAGCCACGCCTGGGCTTAACGGTTTGAGGTCCCTGCTTAAAAATGCAAGATGATTTCAGCTGCTGTAAGCTAACTATCTTCTCTCTCCTTTTGAGGTGTCGAGGGTTGTTTTTCCAGTAATTTGGACCTTTTTGAAGTGCCTGCTTGCCTAATGCCATGAATATTGCAGTGAACAATGTGGAAGAGAAAGCTGTCCATTCCTGGTCGAGAATTTCCTCTGCAGGACAGAAAGTGCTGGAGGAAGCCCTCCGAGTCTTCAACCCAATGTCCAAGGACCTTTCGGACACGGAGACCCAGCTGGTGGCCTTCATTCAGGGCCTGAAGGAGGAGGGCTACCAGCCCACAATTCTGAGGAGTAAGGATGTGTATGGGTACAGCTCGTGCACGGCAGACACACCTAGCCAAACGAAAGAGAGCACCGCACACAACTGCGCCAGCGCTGCCGCCGAATCTGCTAAGAGCCCGTCTCGAAGCACTGCGGCCGTGCCAAAGGTGGCTGCTTCGCCCACCGGTGTTTCGGTGAACTCTTCAAAAGCCTCCGCTCAGCCTGTCTCGAAAGGGCGTTCCACAAATCTCCTCTTGAGCTCCTTGAAGCAGACCAGATCTGGCACGTCCAAGGCCGCGGCAGTGGGCTTCCCTGCCAGCATGTATCCTGACGTGTACCCAGCCGTGAGACTGTCGGTGGTTCTGGAAGCTCTGGTGCCGCTGAAAACTGCCACGTCCTGTTTGGAGTCCAAGTGCACGCGAGGGCGCCTTGGGATCTCGTCCTCGGACCTTAAACTCCTCAAGGCTTCGAGTCCACTGAGGCAGTTCCCTTCAGGCAAGCCCACTAAAATAGCAGAAGGTAAGAGGTACAAGCGTTTGATAAAGAAAGCACCGGATTCCACCACCCTCGCTTTAAATCTTCTGAAGGGACCAAAGGGTGGAGTGCTGCAGGAGAGCAATGCTTGCAAAGCCTCGGGGGTCCTCAATGGGAGAGTCACAGGCAGCTCGTCACAGGGCTGCGCCACAGCACCGCACTCCAGGACCTCGAAAATCAAAGATAAGGAACCTCTGGTGGGAAAGACAGAGTGGAAGAGCAGTGGCACTTACCGGGAGAGCATTGGGCAGAAGAGGGGAAGAGCTACGGAGGCGAGAGAAGCACCACAGAGAAAGAAAGCAAATACCGTTCCTGTCCAAAATAAAAGTCAACGGGCTCAGAGCACTTTGAACCTGCTGAAATTCCGGGCCATCAAGGTGGGCAACTCCTCTTCTGACGATGAAGTGAGGAGGAGAGCGCAGAAGATTCTTAGGGTCAACCTGTCCCCCGTGATCCGAATACAGCCCTTGTCCCACTCTCACAGTGTTCCCTGAGTTGCTTCACTTTGTCACTTTTTTTTGTACGTAAGTAAACACGAGCCCGGCACCAGAGCGTGGAGAGGTTGAGAGCGACTCTGGGTCTCTGGTGCCTGGTGGTGATATGTCGACTAACCCGCAGACGGAGCAGCCTGCTCGCACGCTGTTTCTGCCTGTCTACTGCTGCTGTGCAGAGCTGACTGCAGAAATACAGAGCCCTGCTCGGGAGCACGGGACGGTGACTCGCCCGTGGCGAGCTGAGCGGGCTGGAGGGCTCGCTTCCCACAGGCACTCCTCTGAACATGGCATGCTGCGCTCCTGTGCAGGGGGAGAACACGGGACTTCTCATGACGTTGATGCACTGTGATAATGCTCTTTTTCAAGCTGTACATTTATTGTTTTTATTTGGATCAAGTTTTATAACTTTATTATCTGTATATCTATATACCCGTGTGTGTGCATATGGCCCAGGAACTGTGGGAAGTTGCACGTCCTCCATCCCTCTGGGATTGGGTTCGATAGCTTTTGTTCCCCCTCCCCTTCAGCCAGTCTTTTGTTGAAAGGTGCCAGGATTTCTTTGTGGTTCAGTGTTGTGACAGTCTGTTCTGGGCTCTCCCTGGCAGCTCAGAGGCAGGCAGAGTTACAGCCACCTGTGTGTCTCCAGAAGTGCCAAGCAATCTGGAGAATTACCAGCTGATAGTTGACTGTAGTTTTAATCATATTTTTGGTATTACCTCTGCACAAGAGTGGGGGAATGTTGTGGGGCTGTTGCCTGCAAGTCTGCCGGACATCTCTAGGTGCCTCCTCTGTTTGTTGGTAGCAGAAGCTGTGAACTCACGGTAGGGGTTCGCCTCCAAAGAGCCATTCCTCCCCAGC